TTGTGAGTTTCCTTTCTCCATCCCATCCTCAGTGTGAACCCCAACATCTCATAACCCCACAAATGGTGACCTCGGAGTGATCACTCACACAGGATGGAGGAGAATCTGATCACTCTCCCAGTCTTCAAGCAACATGGAAGACTGGCTTACCCACGCAGAGGCAGCTCTCATCGGCTCTACAACTTCTTTCTCTACACCGCAGGTTAGACACCCTAGAGCAGCTCTGCTACTCTAAGCAGACAGCCGCTCCTCTTCCTGCCCCAAGCACCACGTCCTACCGACCCCAACACACACGTCCTGCCTCAGACCCCGCCCCCGGCCCAGCAGTACCCCCTGCCGCTCCTCCTGACGCGGACCCACACACCCCTCTTTTCTCCCTCAGGTACCCCCTGCTACTGTCCTGCACCCTGCTGCTGTCATGCACCCTGCTGCTGTCATGGACACTCTTCCTAATGCAGCCCCTGCTCCTGATCCAGGTCCACACACCCCAGCAGGCGCATCTGAGGACTCTGTACCTGTCGCGAGTGAAGCTCAACATTCATCGCCTCCACAACCCTCCTTCCCCCCTCTGTTCTCCCACACATCACGTGTATCTAGACAGAGCTGTCCCCCCTAGCGGCCGGCTCATCCACGCCCTCGCCGTTATGTCCAACATGTGGCAGACACCGCCCGTTCTGCCTCACATGTGGCACCCAACTCTGCCAATCTCAACTGGCTCAGCCATGTTAATATTGTTATTATTATCCACTCTGTATCTGTATTTTTCTGGCTAAATAAACTGTTACAATTCAATTGTTACAATTCAACCTCCAGCCTCCCGCCGCGCCCGGAGGGGAAGGGGAGTATTGTAGTGGATTCCTCCCCTACAAGCACCGAACCTTCTCGAATTCCCCAGCCTACTCCTCCAGCGCCGCCCACGGAGCGGGGGTCAACTATCTACCCATGCCTACCCCCGCCTTATAAGGCCTGACACCTTTAGTTTAACAAATTTATTGGCAGAGCTTGTAGTACAGTTTGCCTATTCTGAGTACAGTCAGGTCTTGACACTGAGGGTGGTATCACTTCTCACTGCCACGCAGGACAGAGGTTCATACACAAAGAAATACATCATATTCATTAACAGCTATAAATGTATAGAGGTCAGATTCATATGGGTAATATCACTGTTCACTGCCATGCAGGACAGAGGTTCGTACACAAAGAGATGCATCATATTCAGACAGTACATATACATATATGTACACACACACATACACATATACAGTACATACATATACACATATACATACACATATACATGTACATATATATATACACATGTGCACACATACATACATACATACATATACGTCGGTCAGATTCATGTGGGGTAATGTCACTCTTCACTGCCATACAGGACAGAGGTTCGTACACAAAGAATGCAACATATTCATTGATACTATATATAGGTCAGATTCATGTGGGTAATGCCACTGTTCACTGCCATGCAGGACAGAGGTTCGTACACAAAGAAGGAAATACATCATATTCATTAGCAGTATATATAGGTCAGTGGATCACATACATTGGAGTCATATTCTAATTGAAGAATAATCAGTGTGGGCTAGCAAATTTGGGATAAACAGCAAGAATGTCCTCAAGCACACCTGATTCAATGAAGTATTTACATAGTTCAAGATACAATAAGTCAGGTGGCCTGAAGTCTTTGACAGTGTCACAATCAATAATATAGTGTTCAAGTGTATGCTTTAAAGGTTTATCACAAAGTTTACATGCTGAGTGTTCCGGTATGGGTACAGCGTTACTAACTTGTCAGATGTGTCTGTATCCTAGCCTAATTCTGGCCACGACTACATCACATTGTCTGGTTCTGTCCTTATGCTGGCCATACCGGTACCTCTTGTCACAAAATTTGTCATATTTACTAATGCTACAACTGTCAGGTCTCTGCATTTCTCACTTCTTCTAGATCAGAGTTCATGATTCTGACTTGAATGAACCGCTGTGACCACCCTCTTTCTACTCAGTGCCACCAGTAAGCAACACCTCCTCCGCGCCAGCCGTGCGGCTGCCACTCCCGCCAGCGACCTTGGCGTCCCTCAAGCCGCGTGCCCTCACTCTACTTTTACTTTTATCCTCTTCGCCACTGATCGGCTTGTTAGCCGCTTGGGCGATCGGTCACGCCTCTCTTCATTTATATTCTTCACCAAGAGATCGGCTCGCTAGCCGCTCGGGCGATCGGTCACGTCTCTGTCACGCACTGTTGGCAAATACTGGGCATGCACCGGCTCCTGAATGTACCTGAACCCGCTCCTGTGTTGGTCAAGTCTTCTCTTGAAAGAGCTCACACTCGGTGTCCTCACAACACTCTCTGGTAGATTGTTCCAAGAGTTTACAACCCTCACTCCGAAAAAGTTTGCCCTCACGGTTTTCTGGACTTGCGGCTTCTTCAATCTTGAGCTGTGACCCCTTGTGGGGCGAGCGTCCGCCAGCTCCAAGTAAGGACACTCAACTGAGTAGTGCCCCCTGAGATGCTTATAAACCTCAACTAGGTCCCCCCTTGCCCGTCTGTAGTATAAGCTAGGCAAGTTCAGGCGCTCCAATCTCTCAGGGTAGCTGAGGTGCCGAAGTGCAGGCACCAGTTTGGTGGCCCTCCTTTGAACATTTTCAACCAACTGACAGTCCCGAGCATATCTCGGGGACCAGATGGGGTGACAGTACTCCAGATGGGGAAGCACTTCACTCTTGAAGATCGTCACGAGGGACGGACCGTCTAGATATCTGAACGACCTTCTTATAAGACCCAATAATTTATTTGCCTGATTTACCTTCTTCTCACAATGGCCCGAGAACTTCAGCTCATTGTCAACATACACACCTCGGTCCTTCTCACACACAGTCTCAACTAGTACATTTTCTTCATCCCGTTGGGACATATGGTACGCCTCCTTACCGTTGGCACGCCCCAGGTGCATCCTCTTACACTTCGTGACATTGAATCTCAGCAGCCATTCCTTCGACCATTCCTGGAGCCCACAGAGGTCCTTCTGCAGCTCTTCACAGTCCGCTTGGTTCTTAATTTCCCGAAATAACTTGCCATCATCGGCAAACATTTGTATGGAGGAGTGTACAACGTCAGGCATATCATTTATGAAACAAACAAACAACAGCGGGCCCAATACACTACCCTGCGGTACCCCACTTGTTACAGGTACAGATGACGATTTCGTGCCATTAATCACCACACATTGCTTGCGGTCATGTAGAAAGTCTTCTATCCACGCTAGGACATTTCCCCGAATTCCGTACCCTTCCAGTTTGATTTTCAGCCTTTCGTGGGGTACACTGTCGAAAGCCTTGGCAAAATCTAGGTAAATATTGTCGATATTACCACCCCGTTCTAGAATATGGGTCCAAATATCCAATACCTTGAGCAATTGTGTCAAGCAAGAGCGCCCCGGCATAAAACCGTGTTGGCAATCTTTTACAAGGTTGTTTCGTAGTAGATGTTCCATCGCGGCATCTCTGATAATACTCTCAAGTACTTTACATATTATGCTGGTCAGGCTCACCGGTCTATAGTTGTTCGTGGAGTGACTATCGCCCTTCTTGAAGATAGGACTCACATAAGCCACTTTCCATTCACTGGGGACCATTTGTTCATCCAGGCATTTACAAAACAGAATCTTCAGGGGCTCTGTAAGCTCGTTGCACAGCTCTCTTAGCACTCTAGGATGCACCATGTCAGGTCCAGGACTCTTATGGACCTTTAGCCTGGACAGTTTATTTCTAATACCCTCTTCTGTGAACACAATGTGGGTCAGTGCTGTGTCGAACCGTCTGTCCTCAAACGCAGGAAGGTTAGTTGCACCCTCACCACCCTCACCACCCAGCTCTCTCTACTCAGCGCTTGTAACCATGCTACCTACCCAGTAACAAGCTGCATTGTACATCCAATATAATATGTATACTGTACAGTGAGCACATTGTGAGTTTCCTTTCTCCATCCCATCCTGAGTGTGAACAAATATCACATACCCCCACGCTCAGTATTTTAGCTGGATTTATTAAGAAAATGGCCCCTTTGCATTATATAATACAAAAGAAGCCAGAAATCATCGATTGAACCTACGGTACTGTTTTTTTCATCTTAAAAAAAAATATCCGGTTCGGCAGGATATGGAGCACATCCCTATGATAGTAAATGCACATGTACAGTACAGGAAATCTTTCCTACTCAGGGTTGAGTCGAGAAATTCAGTAGGGGGTTACTAAACTTGTAACGATCCTATAATGTTCGTGTATTACTATGCTTCAACAACTGAGTCCTTCAAAAACGTAGCTAGGTCCATAAATCACAAGTACGCTAGTCATCAACAAGTAAAATTTAAGAAAAATTTATCTATAACGAGTAACCCAAGAATGCATTTAAACGCAATAATTAAATATTTTTGCATTAAAGGACGTTGCATTGCTTGAAATCAGTCAGAAAAATGCAAGGTTAGTATTTATGGATGTTGTATATCCGCACTGTGTACACACTGAGTCAATGTTCATTTTATGATGATAGAATGGGATCCGCTATGCCTTTTAGCTAAAGAAATGTGCAACTGGTGTTAATATCAATAATCAAGTACTGTATTTTGTATTACATTTGATTTTATATTTCACTTTACTTGGGAAAACAATAAATATTTAGTTTAATGGGTTTAAAAAGTGTAAAATTTGCTTCAAGGAAATAATAATATTTGTCTGTTCAAATTCCCAATTCTGGCGCTGTAATAACAAGTCCTCCATGATGTGAGATAAGTTACCATGTGATAATTTTATATATATTTTTAGTTCTCTTAATACAATATTTGATAAAAAAAATGCCATATCAATAAGAGAATAATTTATTAATGTATAGATATTTATTTAATATAATTAGTAAATGTATCTTCTCGTTTACAAAATAAAGAAATATAGAGTCCCTTTGGTAATACCTCGTCAGTTGCCCATCAGTTCCTTGGAGTAAACATGGCCAACACGTAAGGCAGCCTTTTACCTCCACGTTTATTTACTTTCAGAGTACTCCTAGACACCCTATTGTGGTCTGGTGTGGTGTGGTGACCCATGAGATAATAGATAACTTACAGGTATTCAGTTAAACCCTGTGAGATGTGTGGTTTAGTAGGTTAGGCATCACATATTCACAGTTTTGCTTACATCGTCATAATCTTTGTTTGAGTTTTGTGAGTAATATTTATGTCCTGGTGTACTTTAAGTGAAATGGATAAATATTGGGTAGTATCAGCTCGCATCTAAACAGTTAGGAGTAGAATTAGATCATAGATGTGTAATTGTGAAGGAAAGAGAAATTGTGGAAAATTTGAAGGTTGGTGGATTGTGTTGTAGTTCAGACAAAGATGGTGCAAGCTGTGGAGAGGAAGGTCTTCTCTTTGTATTCTTTTTTTATAGGATTAATATGTTTGGGTAGTAATTTAGGTCATTTTTTAGGACATCACAACCACCAGAAAACGTTTATGGATTTCCCTTAGTTTTTACTTGTTTTGGTGATAGTATGTGGTTTAGGAGTAATAACTTTATATTTCTCCTTTAGTATTTTTTTTTCCTATACAGTATCTTCGATCATAAATCACTTGTTAGTGGGCAGGACATGAAAGAAGGAAATAATGAGGTAAAAACATGTATAAACCTGATACAACAGCATTTTCAAGCCTCTATGACTTCTATACTCGAAGAATAAATTTTTCATCGTTAAACATGGAGCCACGGGTCTAATGGCCATCTGATATTATAGTGGTTCGCTTTCCTTGTACTGCGTCTTCCATCTTTCCTCGCAAGCTACATGGGGGTCACTTAGTTAGGAGGTTAGGTCAGGTTTTGACAGTTTGGTGCTACTGTAGCGTGCTGTTTGCAAGATATTTAGGTTAGGTTAGACTTAAGATATCTTTGTAGACCGCACACTATAGTATCACCAACAGTTCTCTGTATTCGTTATTAGTATTTGCTGTGTTTTTCCCCACAATTTTCCTCTTCCTTCATGGCCTGTCCATTAACAAATGATTCATGATCGAAGGGTGGTCAAATATAAAAAAGTCGAAAATGATGATTCAAGTAAATGCCGCCTCTTTTAGAATACTTAATATAATGATAAGAACATATTGTGAAAAAAAATTAGAAATATCCGTGAACTTTTTCTGGTGGTAGTGGTGTTCTCATACACTATCCTTCATTAATATGTTTGGGGAGTAGTTTATGGAAGGGTCGTGTCGGCAACCTTCACAAAGAGATGCAACTACGCAATTCGAATTCCAGAGCTTGCACATTCTCACAAATACCACGTGACATCCAAACTTCCACTAATTGGTTGAGTAAGAAGTAATCAATGTATTTTCTGTGAATTTGTACAGTACTGTGCAGTATTATGTTCAAGTGAAATAGAAAAATTAAAATAACTTGAAAAAAAATTCTGGCGCAAACACTATACATTACTACGTGGTTTTTTCCTTGTCTTCTTATATAGTTGCATGGCAATTATATATATTATTTATTATATACATAAACGACATAGATATTGGCATAGACAGCAACATAAGTAAATTTGCTGATGACACTAAAATAGGATGTGTAATTAAATATGACGAGGACTCCACAAAACTACAGGAAGATCTAAAAAAAAATTTGAATGGTCGGAAAAATGGCAGATGAAATTCAGTGTTGAAAGATAACCCTGTTGAGAGGTAGAACATATGTATTGTACACATCTTTTAATTATATTTCACATGTTCCGCACAGTATGTATTTATTTTATGTTGTCTTTTTTTATTTTTAAGTGTTTTTGTACAATAAAAAAGTTTCTTTCGTGAGGTAGGAATAACATGAAATTGTTTGAGGAGAACTTTATCAACAAAAATTATCAGTTTGTGAATAGTACTGTACAGTACTGTTTGGAGTTAATGAGGGATCAATTTATGCAGAGCTATATCCAAAATAATTTTACAAAATACAAGGGCCCCCCAAATTCGCGGGAGTTAGGTTCTCAAAGTGGCCGCGAATAACATTTGCGGACTGGTAGTGGGGGGGGGGGTACATTTTTACTTGTGTTCAAAGAAATTTATATTCCCTTTATGTGTTTGCCCTTAGGACAATTGTTTCTTTTACCTGTATTGTATATGTGTGTGTGTGTAGACACACACATACAAATAAATAATAATTGGAAAATACTTTCACAAATAATCAGAAACAAATTTATTAAAAATGTGACAGCCAACCCTGAAGTCCTTGCTCTATTAATAAAGTAATAAAGCACGGATTTCAGGGTAAACTCACATTTTTAATAAATTTGTGAGAGGATTTTCCAATTATTATTTATTTGTATGTGTTTTGTGTGTGTGTGTGTTTACACACACACACACACACACACACACATATTTACAATACAGGTAAAGGAAATTACTGTCTCTAGAATGAATGGCTCCCTGTCCCAGCTGCGAAAATGCCAGCAACTTTTAAAACTACCCACAGACATTCTTGGGTACATTCAGGGTGATATCTTTGAAATAAGGATCCGCGAACTTGGGGGGGGGGCTGTATTTTCATTGTACTGTATCAGTATTTCCAGAATTTGAATTAAAATTATAAAGATTATTTGTTATAACAAGAAAATAATGAGGAAAATACTCTTTTTCAGAGGAAGATTCAATGAAGTGTCCTGCCCATATCACCCAGAGGCTCATCTCATTGAAGATTATAGAGCAGGAGACCAGATATGTTCAGAGTGTGGATTGGTTGTTGGGGACAGGTGAGATTCTTCATGAGCAGTGTTGTACAGTAGAACCATGGTAATCCACATTGCTTGAGACTGAAGGGCTTTTGGATTACAGTACAGTACAGGTGCTCCTCTACGTTCAACTTACAAATTTTCAAAGATACAAACATCATCACTGTGGGGGGTTACCTACCAGAACAGGTGTTTAATGTGGATGAGACTGGATTATTTTGAAGAAAATTCCAGATAGAAAAAACATTATCCAAGAGGAGAAGAAGAGTGAGTCAGGTTTTAAGGCTGTATTAAAGGGTATAGCTGTACTAAATAACCATAACCTTTTCATTTTTTACAATATGTTTGGTATCTACAAGAGTAAAGTTGGACTTATAAACAATCCTCAGGAACGTAACTCGTTCATAAGTAGAGGAGCACCTGTACTGAATATTTCATTGTGTTTAGAGAATACTGTACTTATTTCAGAGTAAAATTGCATTGTGTCACTCTTATTTTATGCTTTTGTTTGTACAGTACAGTGATCCCTTGGTTAACGAAATTTTGGTTAACGAATTACCTTCCATAAGAATCTTCAACTCGATTAACAAACAAAAATTCGGTTAACGAAATCCTTACGAAATCGTGTCAACATGTTTTAACCTGCTCACCAGCTGGAGTATTAGTCCGCCAATACAGTAATCGGTTTCAGGGCTTAAATTCGTTACCATTTGAGTAAATATCAAGAAGGTTGTACTATTCAATAATTTTCAAAGTCTTATATTAAAATCTTTAGTCATTTTAACAATTATTTAACATAATTGAAGTACAGGGAACTAGTTTTTAGCTCGCCAAACAGCCACTTGATTCACCCAGAATGACGTCAGTTTGTGTCTGCTCAGTGGAGGTAGCATCTTGCTTGCGACTCTCTTGAACATAAACTATTTTTACGTTTTTACAGTACAATTATCGGTCATTCTGAAATTTATTTTACATATTGACAATATATAGTGCAGTGCAGTGTTGATTTAAAGAAAATAATCTTGAATTACACCAAGTGAACTTAAAATTTTATGGGTGAAATGGCAGCATGAAGCATGTGGTGACTTCTCTCTCTTCCACCCCCACTGCCTTCTCTTCTCCCTTCTCCTCCACCCTCACTTCTAATTCCCATCATCATCATCAACCAGGAGCCTTCTACATGCACACCTCAAAGTAAGTGTACTTTGCTGCATTTATTTTTACTTTGTATTTAATTTTCGGTGAGCTGGAACCAATTACCCAAAATCCCATTGAAACAATGGTTTCGGTTAACGAACTACCTTCTAGAACGAATTGTGTTCGTTAACCGAGGGACCACTTTAAGGTTGAGCAAGAGGACAGAGCTGTCAGGATTATGTCTAGTTGACAAATATATTTATTGCAATGGTAATTTCTTATCTATTTACATGATAATTTCTAATAAAACTGTTTTGATGGTACAATAAAAGCAGGTACTGTAAATGTAGTAGGTATTACAAGTAATATTAATATTTAGACAATAGATATTTTTTAAGAGATGATTTAAAGGAAGGGAGCGTAGTCTTTGCTCGGATGGGTGGGGGTAAGTTGTTCCACACCTTCACACCATGATATTTTATGGAGGTCTGGGACTGAGAGGAGTGCATGGGGGGTGGTCTTAGTAGCTCTGGGTGCCTTAAGTTGTATCTCTGATTATTCCGGAACTGGAAATAATTATTGTCAAGCAAATAATTGATAGATTTGTAAACAAAGAGGGCACAGCAGTAAGTGTTAATATCTTCAAATTTTAAAATTTTCAATTTAGCAAATTTTTCGTTTGTGTGAGTTTTTTTTTTTTCTTTCTTTCTCCCAAGTAGGTCATTGTCCATACAACTCTCTTTTGTTCTGTAACCAGGGATTGTGTTTTTGAAGAGCCATAGGCCCCCCATAGTGTGTGACAGTGTATCAGGTGTTGGTAAACAAGATCATGATAGATTTCTTTCATTGCTGTGAGAGTGAGTGACTCTCGAGTGTGATACACGATCCCGCACTGTTTATTGACCTTACTGTGAATGGCTTGTATGTGGTTTCTCTAGTTAAGTTTCTCATTAACAATAACTCTGAGGAATTTAGTATTTTGTTTGCATTTGAGGACTGTATTACCAAGGTACAGGGGGCCCTGTTGTCTCGGTAGGGTTGTCAAAATTCTTCTTCTGTTGTGTCATATTGTCCAACAAATTTTGCAGATACTTTTTGTAGCGAGTGATCATAAAAATCCATAAATATACATCAATGGGAAATTTTTTCAAGATCAGACAAAGACTCCCCAAGGTTGGGTGGTATCACTGACTTCGCAATATAAATTTGTCACAGAATTTTCTGATCTTAAATTGTATATTTCTTGCTTACATCTTTGGCTTTAGTGACTCTTCTTCTACATAACACTATTTCAGTCCATTCTTATCCATCATTGTAGACTTGGAACAAGTTCCCCTTGTGTAGTCTTCTTTCACTATAAAGTATAGGTCTACTGTATCTAAAGATCACCAACTATGGCATTTTAGTTCGCAAGATCACTTCTCAATTTTGTAATTGAGTCTGACATACATAGTGAAAAGTTTCAAATATAAGAATATTAATTTTGGTGTTTCATATTTCAGAGTGATTGATGTAGGGTCAGAATGGCGTACATTCAGCAATGAGAAGGCCAACAATGATCCATCTCGAGTTGGTGGACCAGAAAATCCACTTCTCAATGGTTCTGATCTATCAACTATCATAGGTCCAGGAACTGGTAGTGCATCATTTGATGGTTTTGGAGGCTCCAAATATCAGAATCGAAGATCGGTAAGTTCATTTGATTGAGGATATTTTCTGAATTACTATACTGTACTTATAAAGACCAGAGCCAGGTAAGATCAGTACTGGAGTAATAACAATTGTATCCTCAGACTAACTCCCTACATATAATGTCAACCAATCGTCTGTGTTCACAGGCATTACTTTGAAGTACTCCAAAAACAATAATTATCAACCTCTGCTGTGTCTTTGATGACATTGGTGGACTATTTGTGTAGCCATCAGTTCAAACCAAAGCAAGGTGGTGTAGTGGCTAAAAGGAAGCTTAGTAGCTATGGGATGGACGGGAAATTAGAAATTACATGTTGTAAGAAAAGTGTTAAGCATGTCTCAGTGAACCACTTTCGCTGAAATGAGTGTGCGAGTGCATGGTCAGGTAGCCCTGCTGTGTGGTTAGTGGTTAGGTAGCTTGCACCGCATCAGCACACTGACCCCAAACGACATGAAGTACCTTCAATAAGTTATAAAATTAAATAATTTAATAAAATAATGTGAAATCAAATGTTTCTAAGGTATGTATATATATATATATATATATATATATATATATATATATATATATATATATATATATATATATATATATATATATATATATATATATATATATATATATATATATATATATATATAATGTATGTGTGTGTTAAAAGATATAAAAAACTTTGGGTGTCACTTTCAATGTGATGGTCCCGATAGATCTTATTCCTATTAATTCTTACGGGAATTAATTCCCCTTTATAAGTGGCTTTTCTGGTCCATATTAACCACTTATAATGAGGACCCCCTGTATTTCCATGGGTTGAAGTTCATGTACTTGTGTGTGTTTTGGAAGGGGGGAATTAGCTGGGTGGGAGAGAGTGGTGAGTTGGTCCTGTTGCAGAGGCTGAAACATAATCAGAATATGTGTATGTGAAATTTTCAATACATTGTTGGAGTTTTATTACATTTTTCATGAACATATGGTTACTTTCACACTGTGTGGGAATATGTTTGCCTGGGCCTAACTGTAATATGAAACAGTTAATTTGGGGAATGTAGGCATAAGAGGGATATCTCAATAGGTGACCCAGTATGTAAATGATGCTGTATGATGGTAAGTCTGCTGGAGCCTCCCTACTAAATAGTGATATGGTGGAGTTGCAATAATTTGGGGGAAATAGTGTAATCAGTTTGGAACCAGAGGTCAAAAAATAGTGATACACTGTTCCAAAACTGCTTTAAGAAACACCAAGCCTCATACATAATACTGTACATGAAAAAATAAAGTAACAGATATAATACAAAAATAGTTCTACGTTACATAAACAGCTTTTCCCCAATATTCCATTAAATCAGTCAGGCACCTGGTTGGCTGTGACCACACTATGTAAACAATGTATCAGGAATTTAATACCATACAATAACTCATCTGGTGTCGAGTGGGATTTTTTCTAGAAAATTGGTTACCTTACGATATGTTTTATTAACCCAGCACCAAATGAACCTAAATAATATGGTAATTATGATGAAATTGTTTAATGTTGTACTTGGGAGGGGGGGGGGGCCTCAGTCCACTGCCATACCTTCCACTTCCCACACATTATTAAATTTCTACTTTTAAGTTTTCTTATTTTATAATTTTATATTTGAATTTCCTTATCTCTAAGTCAAATTAGACCATTTAAATGATATTCCCACAACTTTTATGGATTCTTATTTAAATAAACACTGCAGCAGTGGATGGCCATGAATTGTGAATACTGTATATGACTGCAAAATATAAAGAGATGGTAACAGAGGTACCTATAAATTATTGTGACTCCACTGTATATATTATTTTATAAATGATTTAATTACAAAACTTCAGTCACCCATTTTCATGATCTTTCTTTCTTTTTCAGATGAGTAGTTCAGACAGAGCCCTCATCAATGCCTTCCGAGAAATTAGTAATATGGCAGATAAGATCAATTTGCCGAAGACCATTGTTGAGAGAGCAAATGTTTTATTCAAACAAGTAAGTAAAAAATTACCCAAGTAGATGTAAGTAATGAGGCTGGCCTCCTGTTATGTGGTCGCTGTGTTGTAGGATTATATTAGACAAAGGCATTAAATTTTAATAATTTTACCCCATAATATCTGGTTGGAGTGTATGAAAATTTGTTTTTAGATTTTTTTTAAGTTAAGCCCAAGCTTAGGTTACCATGGAAGGTAATAAAGATGAGAAACGTAACTTATGACACAACACAGATGCTGAGAAGGTAAGTTATGTGTTGAGAGTACTGTAGTGTGAGATCCACTTTTAGCCCAGGTCCCTTATGTAGCATCAAAGGTAAGTTGTGTTTGATAAGCCACTTTGAAATTAAAAAGAATCTGAGATTGTGCATAAAAGGCTGACCAGTTAGAAAATTTAGTGTTAATTTCTGAAGTCTCTGACTTAAAATTGTTGATGAACACATTGACTTGTGGAAAATGTACTGGTTGATGAAATTTTTGTATATAAGAAATATTTGGATCTTTGAGTTGGTAATATTTGTTTTGCTAATGTGATTCTTGTAATTTACGCAGTGGATTGGGTGATTTATGTACAGTTAACAATTTATGATTGAGTCTAAATTTCATAAAATAATATTTCTCTCTTGACACAATTGTATCCCTATGGGGTAAGTTACCTATTTTGTCAAAAGCTGAATCTTTGCCTCTTATACTAATATGCATATGCTTCACAACCCATGTTACCCTTGGCTACAGACATGAGAACACACTCAATCCCACCCAGCTCTTAGTGCTATGTATTTTGTCAGCTAGGTGCTGGAGTTTTGGACTCTTATCTCCGAGTAGGTTATTCGGGCGAGGAGAGAGCGGGGTTGCTCTAAATGAATGTGGTTATATTTGCAGTAATTAAAGTACTATAGAGATGTCAGGGTCAGCTGAGTGGCTCTTGTTAAGTGCGCTACCTCCCCATAATGTTCATCTTAAAGGACACCTTTGTGAATGTGTGGTGTTTACACTGTACTGTACTGCATTCTACTCTTTATATAATGTTCATTCTCATCCATTGCTTTATATGTTTAATGTTATTTGTCTTAATATACTGTACATAATAATTAGTGAAAAGAGAAGTAGAGTAGTATGTAGTGGATATACCCTGAATGTGTTCTCCAAAACCGTGAATTTGTTTGTGACTTCAACAGTAAATATTCTTTACTTTTTCCTCATATCTTGAAAGTTAACATTTTCAAGCATTTACCGCTTATTAAATTCATCATTAAAGTGAGCCAGAACTGGGTATCCTTAACAGTTATATATGGATTGTTTGCGATATATAAATCTTAATGGAACATTATGTGTGAGCCAATGAACTACAAGGGACTGGGTTTTAGCCTAGTACTGTCAGCCCCCCCCCCCCCCAAAAACTATAGATCAGAAATTTTTTAATGGTAATTCCATTGTACCATTTTTATGAACTTTAGTACTTCTTGTATTTTATAATCATTTTTAGATATGGAAGAGACATGTGTAGTATTGTAACTTATGTGTTATCTTTGGTTGGCTTTTGCATTTTGTATACTGTAGTTTAATTGACACTGAATGGGAACTCTCCTTACCATATAAGTGAGCCTTCAGTCCTGAGAACATATTTTTTGGTGATGGTAAGTAACTGCAGCAGCCAAATTGTGACTTCTGTATATATAATTTTTGTTATTGTTATTACCAGCTGTGTAGTGTTTTCAAACTGTCAATTATGTGATTATTATTGCTCTGGTTTTCACTTTCTAGAACTACTGAGGACCTTATTTTACATAATAGTTGAGAGCATAGGGACAAAATTTTGTGGTTCAAGGTTTACAGTATACAGTTATTTAACTTGCGTGTCTCTCTTAGGTTCACGATGGTAAAAACCTAAAGGGGCGTAGTAATGATGCCATTGCTTCGGCATCTTTATATATTGCTTGTCGACAGGAGGGTGTACCAAGAACTTTCAAGGTAAGTAGTCACGTTTGAGTAAAAGTTTTGTCTTATGCCTTTCTTAACACTCGTGCACCATGATGTGAATACATGTCAATAATAATCTTGCCCAATTGGCAATGACTCGTATTTGAGTCACTTAAGAGAAGAAAAAATAATAATAAAATGAGTAATTCTGATTGATGTGTAGGCCTCTTTTTCCGTGGTACAGTATATTTCACAAAACCTAGCTCAGTATTTTTCATCAGTATGTATGTTCATCCCCTTCAACCTGCAGTGTCCCACACCTCATGAATTTTACTTGATAGTATTGGCTAGAATACTGTATAATTACATTGTTGGCAATTTATTGTAAATTAGAAAAATTTATTTTAAAAGTTTTTATATTTTGAGAGGAGATGCCTTCACCTAAGTATCACAGCTACTCAGCAAATATTTTACTAAGACAAAGTGTCTTCAGTCTCACACATTCACCTGTTAAGATGAGAAGATATCAAACATTTTTCCAAATACAGTATACTGTATATCAAATTTTGTCAAATACATACTAAATAATTTGTGTAGATAGAGTTCTTTAAAAATACAGTTCTCTGTTCATTATGTACAATATCTTCTTTACAGTGAATTTATATTTTTCATTAGTTGCTTACAGTGTATGGCAAAAAAAAATGGAATTACTGCACCATACAGTATGTGCTGCTGCAACACAGGCTTTTTGTGCACTTCTCACACATCATGTTTTAGACCTGTTTATTTTGTATCAACCAAACTTAACCAAATCTACCCCAATGACCTCAGGACTAAGAAATTTTTAGTTATGCCTTATTTTTTGAAGTGTCCACTCTTTCTACATTATTTAGACTAGAGACAAGGGTAAACATAATCTATAAAGGAAAACGGCAGAGAAAACTGCCTTCTAAATGTTGGGAGAAAAAAGGGTGGATGTGGATACTAGTGTTTCATATTGCAAACCTATCTGTAAATGTCATTTGTGTTTGTGATTTGTTTTAGTTTCACATGTTGTGAACCTGATAAAGATGTAGAGAATTACCGAGTTGTGACAGGATGGACACAAGGTAAATAAGCACAATGGTGTATATATTCCATTAACCACATTTTAGTTATTTATAATTAGTGATGAAACACTAATATATGACCTCCAGTTAATATTTATCTAAATTTCAGGAGATTTGTGCTGTGAGTAAGATCAGTAAGAAAGAAATCGGTCGTTGTTTCAAACTCATCTTGAAGGCACTTGAAACACAAGTAGATCTCATTACTACTGGTGACTTCATGTCAAGGTTTTGCTCAAACCTTGGACTACCTACCTCAGCACAAAAGGCAGCAACACACATTGCACGAAAGGCAGTTGATCTGGACATTGTTCCAGGAAGGTCGCCGATCTCAGTTGCTGCAGCGGCGATATACATGGCTTCACAAGTATGTACTGTATTGCAGTTAAATAGAAGAAAACTTTGTGCCCCCCTCGTCACAGTATTGTGTGTTTCTCAGTGCTGCTTGAAGTACATGTCTTGAGGGGGGGGTGTTACTCATTTGTTGCTCTATTTGTTTGTTTTCCCTCTTTCTTACTTTCTTTACCAGGTGATATTTCAGGCACTTTTTTTTGTAGAGGGCTCAGACAGGAACACAAAGGGTTACCAAATGTTTTTAATTTTCTAAACTCATTCCTTGAGCCAGAATCTTCGATCCCTGACTTGACGCCACCTATGAGGTTAAACATACAGTATTTTATTTGGATGATTTTTTTTTTTTTTTTTTACTTTCATTTACTGTATTTTGTCATTCTGTTTCTTCTTTTCTTTTAATTTAGTGATTTTAGATGTATATAAGGACTTTGGCTATGATATAGGGGAATTTTAAACATTGTTCTGTAAGTACTGTATGCACATAGCATTCGTTTCGACATGTACATTTTATACTTAAGAACGTCCTCAGGAACGGAACCCGTTTGTAACCCAGGGACCTCCTGTAATGGTGTTTCTAACTGAATTAGAACTGATTTCATAGACACTGGTATAAACATTTCTTATGTTTTTTCATAGAATTGAGTTCCCCATCATTATATCATGTCCCAAAATATTTTTTATAGAATTTATTTAGGATTATTGGTACAAAGTTCATCTTTTGAACATAATTAGAACAGATGCTGTGGATAAAAGTTTGTACACTTTTCGATAGTTGTAAATATTTTTGCTCGTGCCCACAGCCTCGTGTAATGGGAGAGTGATAAGAGAATCGAAGGAAGTAGAAGTATTTCATAATTATGTTGTACATTATTACTGCACTATAATATGCCTGTTGCTAAAAAAATTGAAGCACATAGTACATGTAAATAATAAGGTACTGTACTTATTATTTTTCACTTATCATGAGGCTAGTGAGAAGGCAGGTGAGGCAGGAAGTGATTGTACAACGCTCTCAATGTATGCCATTGAAGATTGGAGCAAATGTTATGTTTTCACTAATAATTTTATTTACTGTAAACTACAGTATTTACATTTCTTAGACACTTCACTTAAGTGCTCCTCAGCAACCTCCCCACTGCCTCCTCAAAGACAGCTCCTGAATTACTCTCCTGTGCCACAACAGTGGCAGCCTCTGCTTACACGAACTTTCCTCTGTACTAACTGAAAATTTTTGGTCGTGTTTTTCTGGGTTAGGGATACATGTGTTCAGTGCTGGTTTTCAAGGGGATCCGGATTAAGCGAGTCCGGCTTAGAGGGAGTTAACTATATAGTACAGTACTTGACGTGACAGTAGTGTTCCATAAATAAATACCGCTCTGTGTCTGTCTGACTGCAGTTATGCCTCTGTAACAATAACCTCCATGCCAGATGCAAAGTTTAGATATGGAAACATTCACTGATGCCCGGAAAGATTCCGTCAATGTGTGATTATTTCTGGGATCAGAGAATTTGTCTTGGTACCTGGAAACGTTCTGCACCAATTGTTCCGGCTAATGAGGAGATTACAGTACTGTATAATGTACAGAATATACAAATTCTCTGACGTATTAACTATGGACACTCAATGTTTTGTTTACAAAGTGCTTTGCTGACATTAGGTCAGGTTAATAAGGTGACAATGGCATGATATGTACCTGGCTTCTAGTTAAAGATGATATGTGTGTGGTGTTTCTATATAAAAGCAAGAGTACAGTAACAATTTATATAAACACAATAACTAAATTGTGCTACAGTAGCACCTAAGTCAGATATTGTTAGCAGTTATAAGGTATTATGCATCTTCAGTTGAATAACCACAATATTTTTTTCTTAATAGGCATCAGAGGACAAGCGTACACAGAAGGAAATAGGCGACATTGCAGGTGTTGCAGATGTCACAATTAGGCAGTCCTACAAGCTGATGTATCCCCATGCAAAAGAACTTTTCCCTGAGGACTTCAAATTTTGTACCCCAATTGAGATGTTGCCACAATTATAGGATTCTGTATCCACTGTACCCTCGTTACTTCCGATTGTTATAAAGCGGGTGTCGTCTTAATTCTTTTTTTTTTTATGAATTAAACGATTTGAATTCCAAGTGAATCTGAAATATCCAAGTGGTTCCGAAGTCGCTTTGGCTGCCACACAAAATATTCTATTTATAATTACTGTGCAAACAAATATTTTTTATATGTAAAAAAAAAAATATATATTTATAAAGTAGTTAATACACTAATATATAAATGTAACACTTACATTGGGTGGTGAGCTAATAATATTCCGAAAGTAAAAATTCACATTGGAGAAATAAAAGGCAAAATCTTGGAAATGGTATACTAGGACCCTCTTCAGCCAACTAACAGAACAAAGCAAGGGAGAATGACATAGAACATGTTGAGGTAGGGTCTGGGGTCCACTGACCTGATCCTGAATACTGTCATCAAGAAGATTATTCCTAATCCTCACCCTGCTTCAACTTGGGAGACAAGTCGTGTGACCAGTAATTATAAATAAAATATTTTATGAGAAAGTTTGTTGGTTGGATTAATGAGGAATAATCTTCGGAATAATCCGAAAAAGGTGCAAAACTGAGAGAAAACTGGGAATAATTGAATACGAAAACTCGGCCATTGCTGAACAATGCCAAAATATTCCTAACTCGGTTGATGCTGATTTTTCAGTAAAATGAGTGACTCGGAGCCCCTTTTTTGTCGAATTAACGAGGGTATAGTGTATGCATAAGATGTATTTGGTAGATTCCACTTTTTTATAGTGGGTTCTGATATGTGAAATTTATTTTTATTTTTTATGCTATACTGTAGTTAGTTCTGTTTTGTAAAGGTTTTTCAAAAGACCAATTAAAGACATTACCATCTGCCATAAAAATTTTAAGAATGCAAGAACTCCTTTGGGTAGATAGGTTTTCTTTTTTTTGTAATTTGAAAGTATAAATGAACCTCTTGAATGATTTTCCTGTAATACTTATGTAAAACATGTCACATTCTTGTACTTTTGCTACTTTTTTTAATATAAACATTATTGTAATTGTACATTACCTGTATTTGTAATACCGTATTTGGAAGAAGATATTGATAGGTATTTATGTAACGTATTGAAAGTTAATCTTTGTGATTGTACTGTACTATCAGTTTGTGGCTCATTGTGAGATTAATGGAAGTACCTTCAGATTATGATGATTTTGGATGGTATTGAATTTCAGACGTCTGCTGTGTTTTTTGTTTCTGCGAAGAATCAGTCAATTTATGGAGGGTCAGTATTCTTGTGCCTTGTTTTCTCTTATTGTTGTTATCCTTATTAACATTATACATCATCTGAATGAAAAAAAATATGGAATTGTACAATTTGCTGCTTCAAATTCTTATATTGTATTGTACAAAGCACCATTTTGAATCAGGAAAGTCCCACAAACTTAGATGTACAGTACAGTACCATGTACTAATTGAAGCTGGCTGACCTGATTCTCTTGGCCAGTTTTTACTCAACTTTTGAAAACTTAAGGTTACAAATAGAAGCCATTACTTTTGGTTAAAGTCATGGTTGTATGCAATGATTAAGCCTCCTGTTTTTTAATCTACTGGTGTATTAAACATTTACAGAGGGGAGTTTTGAAGTTGTAATTGCTTATGTGGCAGTGTGTAATAAAAATTCATGTAGGACAAGTGTATTAATTCTAGAGTTAATTGTTTAATTATTTGTTTTGTATTCAGATCTCACAAAGCTGTGTGTCATGAACAGATTTCAGTGATGGTGCTGCACTGAAAGAAAGCCCAGTTGATATACAGTATTCATATCTGTTCTTGAAGCACATTAATTGCCATAGAGGTCCCTTTTACCTGGTATAGTTTATAAATCCACAATTAGTACCTGTATAAAAACTAACATGACGAACTAATTACTTAAAAGAAGTTATATAATCATTGAGTACTGTACTGTATAAGAAACTTTAAATTCTTTTCTCCTTGCCTCCCAAATTATTTAATTTCAGTGTACCTTAAAAGGACATACCAGGTATTAGTCAAATTACTTTTGTTATTGAATTAGTCTTCATAAGAAATGTAACTAAATTTGGTGATCCAAAGACTTAAGAGTCATAGTTGCCAATTATTTGTCTTTGTAAAACCTGTCATTCCCTTCCATTTAACTATATAAAAATGATTGAGTTACAAAATGTGTAAGTTTTTAAGCTGGTTGTGTATGCAGGTGTCTTTACTGTAATACATGTTTTTGTTTTTCAAATTTAGACTAGTTTAGATTTTTTTTTAACATTTTTTTTTGGGGGGGTTTACATCATTAAACATAATTACAAGCCATCCTTGATCACAAATTAGTAAACTTATTCTAAGGAAGTTTGCTTTTTTGTTTGACTATATTTTTGTGTGGAGAACTAGCTTTGCTTAGTTGGGGTTACTTTCAGGAATGAATTAATGATGACCTCTTGATATTTCTGATTTGGTTATAAGGTTGTGGATTACCTGCATGTATAACCCCTTAAGTCTTTAGTTTGTTTTTAGGGATTAGGAAATGTAATTGTTCTTGTATTGTGTTCATTATATACAAAGTAAATTAAGGTATAAATGGTTTTCAGATTTGAATCCCAACAGTATAGAAGTTGTGTTTATGTTGAAGCACATATTGTGTCACTACATGGGCTTTTACAGTGAAAAACAGTTTCTGGCAACCAGCTTTAAACTATAGCACTGATTTCAGTTGTACTGTATCATATATGATTTATATAATACCCAGGGTGTTTTCCTCATTGCATATAAAGGATAATTATTTTAAAATTCTGTGTAGCAATTCTGTAAAAAAAAAAAAAAAAGAAGTACAGGTTGTACCTCTCTAGTCCGGCAACCTCGGGACCTGACCGGTGCCGGACCATGGAAATTCACCCTTTTCCTGGATAGATAGTGACTTGTGCTTATGCCTGGAAGCACTAGCACCACTTTCTCTGCGTCATGGTCTCTTTGAAGACATATTGAAGGGTTAAATGTCGTATAGTAGCTTCTCAAATTTCGCGAGTTTTTAATTCTTAACGTATTTTATTGGAACACACAAAAAAATAAATAAATAAAAATTTTGACGGCGGAAACTTGAATTTCGACGGGTTTGAACGGCCCGCCAACGTGCAGACGACGTGCATAATCGTGTAAACAGCGTCATTTCTCTTATGTACAAAAGATTCATTATTGTTTATTACTGAATGTCTTTTTTATTGAATTAATGTTTGTGTGCAAAATGAGCAATACAATTCATTAATAATACGTAGAAAATTAAAACACATGAGGAAATGACACAGCATTGTTTTCGTTGATTACAAAACCAGTGACTGACTGGTTCTACATATAAAACTGAAGAAAATAAGACCTTGGTTGTAGCTGTAGTAAAATTAATATGGTTGTTTTAAGTAATGTTATTTAATGTTAATAAATGGAACAATAGAAGTAGCTAACGATAATGGTAAAGAAAAAGAGAGATCGCATATGTAAGTGCGCATGCGCACACGTGAAAACATATCGTCATTACTTTACATAAGAATATGAAAGCAACACTTATTTACTGTTCATATATATTTTAATTAATGTTTCTGAATTTGTTTTTATTGAATTAATGTACGTGTGTGCAAAATTAACAATACAATTTATTAATAATACGTGGAATATTAGAGGAGACGAGACCGCTGCCGGCATTGTTTATGTTAAAGCTTACGAAACCAGTGACTGATTGGTTCTACATATAAAACTGAAGAAAATAAGACCCTGAGTTTAGCTGTAGTAAAATTAATGTAAAAAATGAATATGGTTGCTTGAAGTACCTGTAATGTTATTTAATGTTAATAAATGGAACAATATAAGTAGCTAACCATTAATGGTAAAAAAAAAAGTGAGACTGCTCGTATGTAAGTGCGCACATGTGAAAATATATCGTCATTACTCTACATAAGAATATGAAAGCAACACTTATTTACTGCTCATATATATTGAAGGGTTAAATGTTGTACTCTGTATAGACAAGCAGAGAGAGAGAGAGCAGCCGAACTGCCGGATGTAAACAAACCTTAATTTCCCGCGGCTTTTTTTTTTTTAAGGGGATTAGCCCACCCGGGCATAGGTCACTGACCCACATTGGGGCCTGAGGGGCAAAAATTTAATACTCCTGTAATAATAATAATAATAATAATAATAATAAAAAAGATAAAAAAAAAAAAAAAGCTGCCTATCTACCTATTGGACAAATTAAAATCGTTCCGGATCACAGAATGCCGGACTAGAGAGGTACAACCTGTATTAGTTAAAATATCTTGCAAACACTCTTGCCATAAAATTTTTTTACCCTGTATTCTATGTCTCGGTATGTTCTCATCTGAAGTAAATTACTACTGAATGCTTCATTGATAAGATCAGGAAGTCATTGCACAAGTCAGCGAGTCATTAATGTATGGCAATGTTGTAAATTACTTTTAGTTATTGTTTTTGATTAAATGTGGGAGAAACACAATTTATGTGTGGAATGGGAATAGGAAAGTTTCTTAGAGAGTTTTTCAGTAATTTACTTATATTTTGTATTTTGGTGTGTTTACTATGGAAGGTTTGATCACAGGAAAATAGAATACAGTATTTAGAAAACTTAAATTAGGATGGTCCATTCCAGTCTAAGAGAATGATTTAAGAATGTATTTCAGATCCACTAAAGATGAATCCAAGGTTTATTTTTCTAATTAAAAAGATAAACTAAAAAAAAAAAAACAATCAAGCATCCCAATTTTATTGAAGTATTAATTTGGTATTTCTGCATTTTGTCCGTCATTTTTTACTCGATCCAGGCTTTAATTCACTTATTCCATCCTTGATATTTTGAAATCTGTTTGTTTGTCAAAATATCTTAGAAATTTGAATATCTGAGCCTTTCATATTTTAAGGCAAAATTATGTTACATATTTTGAAGTCGATGATGAGCATTATGGACTTGTAGCCTTTACCTGATAACTTTGATATGTTCAGTATTAGTTAAATGTACCTTGGCTCATTGAGTTACTTGTTAAAATAATTTATTTTAATTAGGGAAGTAACTCCTTTTTATCTGTTTTCTGATGATTATATTTTAGCAGTAGAGTGTATGCTTATAGTGAGATTTAGAAATTTATTCACTAGCATCAACAAAGGAAGATGTATAAAATTAGAAATTTGCTGCCTTTATTATGTAATTTTGTAGCCAAATAAAAGTTAAAATATGCTGTATTTTTTCATTGGTGTGAAAGTCAAGACAATATACAAGGAAAGAGTATTTGTGATACTGTACCCGGTAATTTTATTTCAGGTACATACTGTCTTGCATATGTTACAGGTGGCTACATAAGCACCCTGCAAAATATGTAACGAATGTCACCCTGTACTGTGTATTGCTCACACACACTACTACTACTAACTATATATATATATATTTTTTTTTAATGGCCTCCATATTCACCTTATAGCCACACCTCCACCATTTCATTACCTTAAAATTAAATATCCTAATACATAAGTAGCTATCCTAGCTGTGTTGAGTTAGTTGAGCTGCAGATCTATGCAGCATTCAGTGACTGTTGCCTCATAGTCAATATCTGCGACCGTTGTCGGCTCTGAGACCGAAGATATCGTTCCATTGAGGCAAAGCAGTACAGACTTGGAGAGAAGGACAATCAACATCTCATACAGACTGCAACATAACTTCTGGGCTGCTGCTTCTGTTCATATGCAGCTAGGATTCCATATATTGTATGCGTTTGTGTTACATTGCCTTGGAAAACGGACACCCACGTTTCCATTTGCAATTGCATAATCTGTCTTACACAGCGGAAACAGGACAGGAAAGATGGCTATGACGCAATTTACAGTATATGAACAGGATGATTTGTTATTAATTATCCTGGTTTTGTGTAAGATCATGCGTGATGCAAAGGGAAAGCGGTCAAGGAAACTTAGATGGAGGGTACATAAAATGCTACTGAATCTGTCCAAATTTGGAGCCTTCAATACTTTGGTAAAAGAGCTAAGCTTGGATGAAGAAAAATTCCAAGAATATTTTCGTCTGAGTAGACAACAATTCTTACATGTTCTTGCCTTGGTTGAGGAGGATTTGGTGAAACACTGCAGGAACACACAAGTCATTTGCCCAAAGATAAATAATAAGTGACAAAATTTGTATTCCAAAGAAGCCTTTTATTGAGACCATGAACCTTCATTTAAGAACGTGTCAAAAATGGATCTAATAAAGTGATACATAGAGATTGATGCATACTTAATTACCTCATTAAATAACACTTGCTAGGTTTCTAAATGTATTATATAAATGCATTACAAAAATAGGTACTTTTGTTGGGATATATATACTGAGTGAACTGATGAAACAGTTGCTAAGTTTCTAAGAACATTGTTGATAAATGCTGTATAAAATTAAATTGTTTGTAGTCACATTTCCCCTTACATATTTGTGATTTTTTTTTAGCTTTGGCAAGAACATCTGATATCTGGATGAGGAGAGCATGTGTATGAAACAGGAACTGGTGACGTCACAGTGTGGTATTCGCCGTATTCCCTTTTCCGTTTCCAAGCGGTTGCGTTTTCAATCGTTACAGGGGCCGATTGAAATGTACTGTAAAAGTTAAACGCTAAGGCTGCCTATAACGCAACCGTGCCAATGGAAACAACCGTGTACATTTCAATATGATCTATTTTGGGCGCTACAGCATGAACGGAATCCTAGCTTTATACAGTACTTTGTTCAACACCAGGAGTCCACAATCCCCTTCCTTTTCTGTTCTGAGTGATGTCTAAATTTTGGGCTAGTGGCCGGTAAGACATTATTCCTTATATTTTTGGGTGAAAATCAAAAGCAGGGAAATCAACATACTGCTGTGAGCAGACATTCGGTGTGTTTACCTATGTGAAGAACATTTACCGTTGTAAGCTTGTGGTGGAAATTTCTCCTACAACTACAACTGCCGTTTGTCGCTGACTAGCCGATCCCTTTTCGGGTTACCCAGCCAATGCCTCGTGGTCTAAGGTCGGCTACTAGCAACGTCTGACAAAACGCAGGTCAGCCATCAAGCCACTTTTATCCTCTTCGCCACTGATCGGCTTGTTAGCCGCTTGGGCTATCGGTCACGTCTCTTTTCATTTATATTCTTCACCAAAGGATCGGCTCGCTAGCCTCCCGGGTGATTGGTCACGTCTCTGTCACACACTGTTGGCAAATACTGGGCATGCACTACCTCTGCTATATAAGCTCTCAACCTCGCTGTGACCTCCCTTCTTCTACCTGAGTCCAGCAGCACGCAACACCTCCGAGCAAGCTCCTCGCCAACCAGCTCTCTCGACTCCACGCTCCCGAACCAGCAAGCTCCTAACCTCGCAGCAGCTTCCCAGCACCAAGCTGCATTGTACATCCAATACAATATATATATACAGAGAGCGCATTGTGAGTTTCCTTTCTCCAACCAATCCTGAGTGTGAACCAACATCTAGTTCACAAGCAGTCACACCACAGAACTTGTGAGCTGTGACACACTTTGAACCAACTTTCTGAAATTGTAAATCACCTCCAGGCTCAACCCTCACATTAGTTTTGGTATTGTTCTGTGTATTTGTATTTGGAATTGAAGCTCTTATTTTCCTTTGCAAAAAGCAAACTTATTTTACCCGATATATATATATATATATATATATATATATATATATATATATATATATATATATATATATATATATATATATATATATATACAGTATATATATATATTTTGGAGGGGGGTTACTGTACTGTGTACTGCAGGATATACTGTACAGTACTACTATTTTATAAAGCATTTTCCCCTGTATGCTTGTATTTAGGGAGTGAATCCGTTATAATACCGTTATTTTGTACTGCTCGAAGACAGTTTCTTATTTCCATATTTTGTTTTGCTAAAAGTTTTTTCCCTAATTTCTTTGCAAAATATTTAACTAGGTTAGTGGCTAGTGCTATTATTTCAATGCTGAAAATGAAAGCTATATTTAGTCTTAAATATCGGTGTTGTTTATAACAACTTTATGACAATAAAGTATAGTTCTGATTTTACTGTACATTCAATTTTGTGGAACGCAGCTCTGACTTATGGTGACTTAGTACACCTGCAGCCGATCTCTGATTACTTGCACCATTAAGTGGCCGACAAGTGTATAAAAGGTGCGGGCCCTTATCTACAGTACAGCAGGATATCATGCAATGGTAAGATTCGTTATCATGAATAGCTGAATATTTAAGAGGAAGAGTTAATGCAAGAAATATACACTTTAAGTAAAATGATCATATACAGTACATTATATATATATATATATATATATATATATATATATATATATATATATACACACACCACACGTGCCTTCGCTAATGTCCGTATGCGTCATCATCAGGTGGTCATCACAGCCAATATCAATTTGTTGGAAAAAGTCATACGGAAATGACACATGTTTGTCCCAACACTGAGGCTCGGTTGCTAGCATCACATACATCGCGAACGATATTGATTTATCTAAACAAAATTATGACCATTATTTTACGTTAAAATTATTAATTATAGAAACAAAATGTAGTTGTCATTAAATATAGTAAATCAGATATTGGTACTTGAAGTACCAATTAACAGTGTTGAAGTAAGAGCGAGTCTACCTTCAGTTGTTTAGGCAGTGACGTCACGCTCCTATGAAGACTGAGTGACCAGCCTTTATCACACACCTCCCAGGATGACGATGGCGGCTGAGACTTTTGGCGTACCGCTCAAGAGGGCGTCTGACATTGATATTTTGAAGCCGCTGAAAAATCTAATAACATCACGCTACCAGACGGCAGAGCAGGAAAGTTATATAGGTCCCATAAATGACTTGGCGAAGCTGAGGACATTAGCGGTGTGCAGGACGTTAGACTACCATGAATCATCACTGGAGACACTGTACAGGTAAAGTCATGAATCCTGGGTTATTATTTTAAAATTTGGTTACTTTAGTTTTGAATATTCATTGTCAATAATTAATTAAGTGAAGCGTGTAGGTAGACGTTATTAAACCCAAGAAGATAGCAGTAAACTATGGCAGCTCGATCAGGCCATGAAGTGATACCTTATTTAAAGGCTGATTTTAGTTTGCAGGATGATGTTTGCCTACACTTCTTTGTCGCTCCAGAGAATTAGGTTTTTAATACTTTAACTGTTATTCCATCAACAAAACGTCGGCATTGGTTCAGTTTATATGCACCCTTTAGACAAAGCATTTTGATGGTCTTACAGGGTAGTGCAGTTATGTCTGTAGAATCAATGTAATGTGAGTATATTTCCAGCTCTTTATGCTCATGCCAAAATTAATAATGTCTTGGGTTTTCAGTTATATATTTTTTTAATTTATTAATGTATTTAATTAGGTACTTATGTTTATTTCTCTATATACATCTCACCATGTGTACTGTATATCATAATGTCACTTGCTCCACCCATTCCTGACAACATCTCCAGCTTAGGTTAGGTTTGAATTCTATAATAATAATAATAATAATGGTACAGTATCTGTTTTATAGAAGTGTTTCCTTGCATTCCTTTATTATGTCGTCATTGTTAGAGGGTGGAGTGGCAACGTAATGTAAACAGTTACTTCAGCATTTATAGGTCTGTGTATTCATGGTTGTAATTTGTGTATTTTGACCAAGGGACAGTAAGACTATGATATATTGAAGATGAATATTGTCGTGTAGTAAACTTTGACCTATTATTTGTTGCACCCCCCCCCATATTACACACTCACTCAAGGTCATTTCCCTGTGTTTTGATATGCAACAGTTACAGTATGAGAAAATAATTATCAAATGAAGTTACTGTATAATGAAAATATCTGATTCAAGTGTTAATAACTGTGTGGTAGTAAGATCCATATCAACAGAGGGTCCGACTAATTACCCAAATGTACCCAAATGTAGCCGCAATGAAGTCAAATGATGGTCCTACAAGAATAAATCGGACTGCCAATCACTTCTCAACTAGTATTTGGTGTCACAAAGTAAAAAAAAAATTGGAAAACGTAATTTAATCTGAGTTAATAGATCGAGTGCATGTACCTAACCTAACCTAACACAACTCAGATTAAATTAAGTTTACCAATGTTTTGTGACTTTATGACACCAAATCATAATCGAGAAGTGATTCACAGCCCGATTTACGCTTGTAGGACCATCGTTTGACTTCATTGCGACTACATTTGGGTAATTACTCACTCCCTCGGTACATACACGCGATCTATTAACTCAGATTAAATTACGTTTTCCAATTTTTTTTTTTACTTTGTGACACCAAATACTAGTCGAGAAGTGATTGGCAGTCCGATTTATTCATGTAGGACCATTATTTGACTTAATTGCGGCTACATTTGGGTAATTAGTCGGACAGTCAACAGAAGTAAACATACCTATCTGTGCACAGTCCATTGTTATAGAAGGAGTTTCATTATTGATATACCGGGTATTATCTGTGTTGATATATTGATGTGTGTGTGGTGATAAGGATGTGATATACAGTATAGTATTTTAGCATTATTCTACTTTAAAATTATTATTTTTTTTTTTTTTTAGATTATTAAATGTATTTTAATTCAACCACTGTAGGTACTATGACCAAATTGTTGCTCTGGAGTCCAAGATTCCTGCGGCAGAGATCCAGATACCATTCAAGTGGAAGGATGCTTTTGACAGAGGCTCTATTTTTGGGGGTCGCATCAGTTTAAGTATGTTAATGGTTTGAGTGTTGTACAGTATGTACATTTCTTGTGTTGTTTGATTTATACTGTGCTCTTTTTAGTTTTGTTTCATATCATATTTACCATAATGCACAAAATCACTTGGTACAGTATATTATAGTTAAAGGAAGGTTGCTTTTTTGCAAATACAGTATTATAGTTAAAGTGAAAGCACTTTGTACTTATAAGTATATATATTTTTTTAATTTTTAAGGAATTGGTGATAGAAATACAGTATTGTACACCAGTATGATTTAGTCCAGTTCCAATTTTGCAGTACAGTATACTTTACAGTACAGTGACCCCTCCATTAACGAACTCAATCCGTTCCAGAAGGTCGTTCGTGAACCGAAAAGTTAGTTAACCGAAACCATTGTTTCAATGGGTTTTTGGGTAATTGGTTCCAGCTCACCGAATATTTCCTAAATTCAACAAAAATGGTAGAAAAGTTCACTTACTTTGAGGTGTGTATGTAGAAGGCTCCTGGATGATGATGATGATGATGGGATTTAGAATGGGGGTGGAGGAGAAGGAAGAGAAGGCATTGGGGTGGAAGAGAAGTCACCCCATGGCGCCATTTCACCCATAAAATTTTAGCTCTCTTGGTGTAATTCAAGATTATTTTCTTTAAATCAACACTGCACTGCATTATATATTGTCAATATGTAAAATATATTTCAAAATGACCAATAATTTGCTTGGAAACACAGAAAAAAAGCGTTTAGTTGAAGAGAGTCTCAAGCAAGATGTTACCTCCAGTGAAAACAGAGAGAGACTAACTCCTGTTTGCTGTGTTAAGAGGCTGGATGCCGCGCATTAAACTAGTCACTTTACCTTCAATTATGTTCAATAATTGTTAAAATGACTAAAAAATTGAATATTAAACTTTTAAAATTATTGAATAGTATAAACTTCTTGATATTTACTAAAATAGTAAGGAATTTAAGCCCTAGAACCGATTAATGTATTGGCGGACTGATACTAAAGCTGGTTGCCCGGTCAGTGCAAGCGAAAACATGTTGAGGTCGGTTCGTAAGAACTTCGTTAACCAAATTTTTTTTCGTTAACCGAATTGAAGATCCTTATGGAAGGCAGTTCGTTAATCGAAATTACGTTAACCGAGGTGTTCGTTAAACGAGGGGTCACTGTATAAGGTACAGTATTGGTGTAATATTCTGAAAAATACCCAGTAATTAAGTATTTTGTGGTTTTTAACATGTACAATATATTTTTTTATAGCTGTGGCATCTCTGCTGTATGAGAAAGTATGTGTTCTGTACAACATTGCTGCTCTCCAGAGTCAGGTAGCGGCAGCACAGAGCTCTGACTCTGATGAGGCCCTCAAATTGGCAGCTAAGCTTTTTCAGGTTTGTTGTTTATTTACAGTATTTACATTTTTATAATTTCTTTTACAAACTAGAGATAAATGCTGAATAGCTTTAAATAAATTTTCAGTACTTCCTCATATTTCATCATGGATGTGTTCCTAGAAAACATGTTAGATGAAACATTAATCATTACTGCATACTGTATATACTTACGTTTTCTCATCATTCCTGGGGGATAATTTTTGGTTATGCTTTACAGGAAAAATTATTCGGTAACTCCCAAAGGAGATATTTACAATATTGCTGCAAGACTAAACAAATATAAATATTTTTATATGTAGAAAATTCAGTGAGTATTGAAGATTTTATTGATTCATGTTTTTATTTATGTACGGAACTGTGGGTTACCCTTGCTGTAACCAGGAATCAAAACATCTAAAGTTGGAATGGATTGTTACAAATTTTTCAAAGGAAATAAAGGCAAAGAACAAATATGTTAAGAAAATACAAATTAATGACATGGGCCATTAACAAAACAGCTGATTATAGCAGGCTAGCTGAGACACAGCTCTTGAGGTTTTTTATTTTTCAAATTCTTTTCAGGGCTAAGGCAGCTGTGTATTTAGGGTAATATATTGGTGAGGTGTATGCCTGAAGGAAGTCTTAAATGAATTAGGTATGTGGAGAGAATGGAGAAGACCCATTGACTCAACAGATGATTTAGTTTGAATGTGAAAGAGGAGAGTTAGAAATAGGCAAAGAATAATTTAGGTAGAAGTTGCGAGATAAGAATCTAATGAAAGAAACTGCAAGAGACTTGAGCTTGGAGAGTTACCATCAGGTAGTAACAGCTGACTCCGACAAGCATGGAAAATGGTCATAAAATGGTGGTAATGATAAAAAGCATTTAGTGAATTATGTAAAGATTCTGTTGATACAGATCTCAAATTTGAAACTTTATTACACACAAAGTTATGAATTTTCAGAGTGCTGCTGGAATTTTCACCCATTTGAAGGGCATTGTTCATTCAGCTGTGCAACAAGAACCAACTCCAGATCTTCAGCCAGATACTCTTTCTACGCTGGCTGATCTATGTGTGGCTCAAGCTCAGGAAGTCATCACTGTCAAAGCTATCAAAGGTAATGATTGATTTAGTTGGTGAAATACAGAGGTGAGTTTTCAGTATTCATATACAGTATGTTGCTTATACATAAACACTCAGGTCAGTAGTCTTTGCCAGCCTATAAGACACTCTCCTATTTTACAGGGAAGTTTTTTGGTAAATACAGCATATACTGGAATACAGTAGGTAATCATAAGTGCTGGATATATAATAATATCCATGCATTTTTGTGAGTCATTTATAGTGAATGATAACTACATGGTACATACTCGTGGTAGGCTGTTCTTACCAGTAATGTCCTTTAACCTGGGCTGGTCTACCATACACCATGATTCTTTATGTTGCTCCAAAGAACCGAACTCATTTGCCATATATGCCACTTTAAATCTACAAATACCTGATGCAAATGATGGATACAGATGATATTCTTTCCATTTGCATCTGTGTATATTGCTGGTGGCATTATTGCCAAGTTGACTCATCATTATATCCACATCGCTCTAGCTCTCTCCCTACCAGGCCAAGCTATGAGCTTTATTATGGTTATTTTTCAACTCATAATCTCAGGTTTATATACATAAACTTTCTTCATATTCTTTTTACACAGTTACATGTACACACAATCCTACATACAGAATGTGCAAAAAACAGTTAGAGATAAATAATTATAAGGTCAAAAACATAAAGGCAATAAACATTTCTTCGTGTGCGAGTGAGGCAAAGTCTTTGCTGGACTGCGTTGCTATGGCGAGCGTTGAGGCCAAGCCAGCCAGCTGGTGATCCTGAGAATGTGATGCAGTGTGTACACTAACCTGTAGTATTTTAAATTTTTTATGCTTTCCTTATTGCTATTTATAGAGGAGCTCACTGGTTGAGTGGTTACAGCACTCGCTTCCTTTTCCGGGCTTTGGTGGTTTGATTCCCGGTCGCTCCCAATTCACCCAGCTGTAAATGGGTACCTAAGTTTACTACTTGGGGGAGTGAATGTGGTTGAGAGTAGTATTGGCCATGCTGCCTCCTTGTGTATGAAAGGCTTGGTATACTGTACAGTGTGCTGTATCCACACTGTCCTTAATAAGCAGTCATAGCAATGGGACCCACTTGCACTTTTCCTTGCCATTTATGTGCTTTCATTATTGCTGAGATTGGCAGTTGACAGTGAATTGATCTTTGAAGATATTGTAAATGATAAGTTAATAACGTGAACTAGGAGAGGAGTCTGACTTGGCAGTCATTCATTTGCATAGATGCTAAAAATTGGATATGTTGAAATATTGTAACCATTTTATGGGCCTGCCTACCTAATTACCAACCGAAGAAAGTTCAAACGGTGCTGAACACGGCTGCTAGACTTATTTTTGCTCTCCCACCAAGGACTCCCACTACCCCATTCTTGATTGAATTACATTGGCTTACAATTAAAGCTAGGATAAAGTTTAACTGACTTTAAGACACTACGATTTGGTGAACCTAAGTATTTGGCCAACCTACTAATTCCACTGACTACACATTCCGAATTAATTTTGCATAGTAGTGATGATCCTTTATGCTTTGAGGAGCCTAAAGCAGTATGGGAATGTTCTTTTGTTGCTCGATCCTATTCCTATACAGTACAACACCCAGGTTGTTCAATGGGTTGCCTGCATCCATGAAGCTGCTGATTTCTATGGAGGCCTTTAAGAAACAACTTTAGACCTTTCTTTTTTTGAAAGCTTATGATCCTGAACAGGGTACAGTGATGGAGAATGGAGAATTACAGGGTTTAGAAAGTATTAAAACATAAGGGTATATGAATGATAGAAGCCACACTGCAACTTTTTGTGATCTTTTATTATAGTACAGTATTTTTTTTTTTTGTATTATTATTCTCAAGGCTTTGGCCTTGAATTCCAACAAATTTGTCATGAAAGGGTTAATATTTGCTATGACAAATCTAATTGGTTCTAGAACCTTGTTCGTTATAGCATTCGTTCGATATAGGATTAATCCGTTCCAGGCCCCAAAATACAACCACTTAACACTGAAAAATATAATATAAAATTGTAAAAATGTGCATAAATATGCATCTAAACCCCTGAAATAAAGAATATCATTAATACTTGTAATAACAAAAAACAATAAATTAGTAAAAAAAAACAATCGTAGGAGTTTCGTTCGTTATAGCATTCTCAATTTTATAGGTAAAACCGTTCATTAAAGTAATATTCGTAGTAGAATCCATTCGTTATAGTATACCCCACTGTACGTACTTTTATTCGTTCACTGTATGTTGAAGAAAATTTCTGTGAATATTGGAACTGAACTTTGACAGGAACTAGATATATTTTTCCCCCAGACCGAATGAAGGATGCTGTGGTGGCAAAACTCTGCTCTCAGTGTGATGATATGTATGGAGATGCTCTGAAACACTTACAGAGAGAGACCCTAAAAAGTCTTTGGGACCGTGAGTGGATATCACGTGTGGCTGGCAAACAAGCAGGATATCATGCCCTTGCAGAGTATCATCAGAGTAGGGTAAGTGTATTGTTTTAGCCATGTGTTACGTCATATATGTATTTATCTTGGGTTGTTTATTTCTGACACCTGTGTCCAAACATATGTAAAAGAAAGAGAGTTTGTGTCACAGTGTTGGATCCCAATGACACCGGGCAGCATCTAACATAAGTTACTTGAATCTTTGGTTTAATTTGACCAATATTAATTGCAAAAGCTATTTGAACACAATATTAATATTAACACAAGTAAATGAAATTGAAAGTAAGCTATTAGGCTGTATATTCAATCAGTTAATAAGTGTATAATTATAAATTCTTACTTTTTGCAAATGTCTGGACATATGAGTTGTTGTTAGGAGTCGGACATGAACAAACTCAAGATATGGTATACAGTATACCTTGTAGGCCTACCTAGGCAACTCTCGATGTATAAAAAGACAAATATATTTTTTTATTTGAAGTTTGCGTACAATGACATTTTCTTTATTGTGTCCTTTAAGAGGTAAAACAAAAGTCAACTGAATTTGTGTGTGTGGTAACAAACTTGACATAGTCTGTTGGTAGGTCTAGGGCAGGGGTCACCAAACTACGGCCCGCGGGCCGGATCCCAAGTCCTTCCCCGGCTCGTGGTAGCTCCGCCTACGCTCTGACGTTACCAGAGCTTTCGTTCTGGCTTGCAAGTATTGAACAGAATGATTATGCGGCCCGCGCTCGTCATTCTTTCAGTTATCCGGCCCACTGTGAAAAAAGTTTGGTGACCCCTGGTCTAGGGTAACACATGAAATAGGACTCAGGAAACAGCAAAATCCTTGAAGCTGGTTTGGTGTTGATTCCAAGGGTCCTGGAATTGAGGCTATACCTGTAATGTATATTTACTAAGAATGTTACGATTGCTTACTCATATTATTTTAAGGTGACACTTATTTTTGCTTAACTAATAGTTATTGCAGTGATTTTTTTTTAGTTCACTACTGAAAGAAACTGAAGCTTTGAGAAGTTTTATGAGTGCCCTGTTTTTAGTGTGTAAAAATAGCCAAAATATATTGTACAATCTTTAGGAAAAGGTGGTCTTTATTTTCAGTACTGTATTGTTAACTTTAGAACCTTTAAACAGATTCAGGTAATTTTTATTTACATATACTGTACAAACTAAGTACAGTATCTGCATTCTACCTAATATGCTGAGTGATCAATGTAGAAGTAAGTTCAAAATTAGTCATTGTTGAATATACACCTAAATATACTGAGACATTACAGGAGTTAAAGTTTTCAGATTTGAATTGTTGAATTTTCTAAATGCTCATGAGTGAAGCAGTCGCCATTTGTATTACACTGCTGAATGACTGCCCAGAATTTGTTAGGGATTTGATGGAAGATATATGGCTCTTTTTGCACTTTGGAATCTTCGTGGAATGTAGACTTTAATATTTTTCTCCAGGTGTGCAATAGCAATAAGGCTGTTGGTGAGGAGATTGCCCGCTTGAGACATACTGTTGAGTTGTTTAAGGGTGCACAGACACGCTCAGGAGAGATTTCATTCTTCGAAGACCACCTTGGTCGAGCTCAGCGTGCTCTTGAAGAAGCTGTGAAGGATAATGACTTCATATACCACGAGAGGATCCCAGATGTGAGTCATAGTTACATAAGAAATGCAAATTTTTGCCAAGTCATACAATCCATTGCTATCTTTAATACTTATGGTACCCTGATAATTTTTTTGAGTACAGTTTATCATATTTCAAATAAAACTTGACATAACTAGTTCACTTGCTTTTTTTCTAACTTTCTACTAAATACTTTTGGTGTTTCTTTGTTTCAGATAAAATCATTGCCAGGAATTGGCAAAGCCCCGGTTGCTAAGCCAACTGCAATACCAGAAAAGTTCTGCTCCAACTTCACAGATCTCTTTGAAACCTTAGTACCCGTTGGGGTTCAACAAGCTATTGTAAGTTATGACACTCGCAAAGAGGAAATAGTGACCACGGAAATTGGAAAACTCCGAGAGAGTACACAGTTGCTGAACTCAATCCTCGCCTCACTTAACTTGCCTGCTGCTATTGAAGATGTTGGGGGAGAGAAGGTTCCTCAATCCTTGTGGGAGAAGTCAACTAGTGTAGTTAATGCTGGAGGGTGTGAGGTATGTCTTCTTGATATTTACATTAAATAATTTTTGAAACTACTGTATAATCAAATTTAATTTGTATGTGTATTTGATCTCTACTTTTTGCATGTTCTCATAATCACTATAATTGATAGGTGTAGTTGCATACATGGAAAATGAAAAATTTGGTGTAATGCACCCTATACATTGATGAATGTACTTCCAGATTGCTTGCTATTTGCTTGCTATTTTTGTACATAAAGACCTATTTATAAGTATATGTGCTTATGCATATTACTTGAATAAATTTACACACATACACAGTAATACAAAACATCATTTGAGGAATATGTTAGTGGATTGTGTCGTCAATTTCCCCTGAAACTGAACTTTGGAAATTGCTACTTGGAGGTTTTGTTTTGCTGTTGAATCATGTTAATGAGTAAGGCGGATGGATTATATCGGCACTTTTACAGCCAATTTCTGCTGAAAAGGTTTGGTCTCTGGTGAAATATCAGCCACCTGTTAATGGCTTCAGTTTTACTTGGTAGAAGTCCGTATTTAGTAGGGAGTAGTGGAAAGTTGATATATAGTACAGTATTATAAGAGGAACCAAGAAAAGTAAATTGCAATGCATGCTGGGGATTCTCCACTAGAGATTGAAACAGAAGTGTTTCTGACTTCATATAAGCTGTATAAAATAACTGTAAACTAGGCTGTACAGGGTGTCAGATGAGGATCATGTCCTTATCAAGTGACTTCTGTTATTGATAATTCTTATCTGGGGGTTAGTTATACAACCGAAAACCTCAGCGATGTGATATTACCCCTCCCATTTTCATATCAGAAGATGCGGAGGTGGTGACATAGTCGTCCGGGAGCATCCCTATGTCTGTTAGTCATTGGTTTTGGTTGTGGATAGTTAGAGAGGAGATACACCTGGACGCTAAACCCATGTCCAACCCACAGTTGTGTTCTGTGCTAGTGTCTGTGAGAACCTCTTGAGAAGTTTCTGGCACAAATGCATTAAAATCAACCCCATGTAATCTAAATATACTTTTTTTTTCTGTATTTATGGGGAGTTTAGTGATTTTCTGTAATGATTTATTATACCTTGTACATGTTATTTAGTTTGGTTAGTTTTATTGTGGAAGGTGTCTGAAGATCATCCCCAAGCCCCAAGAATGCATCCTCCATATATAATATGGTTTAAGGGAACATTTCTCACTAAACAGTATTAAAATTTGCTTTCTGCACCTCTAGAATCCATCCCTGTCATGTATTGAAGACTGCCTTTAGACACTTAAGTTTGTCAAGTAAATGTAACAAACATTTTGAATGGATTATTTTGTTTCCAGGCGCTAAACAAAATGATCACAGAGTTGCCTGACCTCTTGGTTCGTAATAGAGAACTCCTTGAAGAATGTGAAAGACAGCTGAATGAAGAGAGAGAGTCAGACAACCAGCTGCGCACCCAGTTCGGAGAACGGTGGACGCGAATACCCTCTGAAAAACTCACTACCACATTCCAAACTAATGCACAGAAGTACAGGTAACAAGCATGTCATTTGTGAAGTAATTTGATGATTTTGTTTTGATTGATCTTTTTTTTTTATGAAAATACAGTACATGACTAAAATAAAAGAAATATTAATGAACGTGGTGTTGGAATAGTTTTTGTGTATACAGGTATTTCATTTCTTTTTGATACAATAGTTTCTTTTGAAAAGTAAAAGTGTAGTTTGTGTCGATATTTACAGTAGTTATATACAACTGCTTGGTAGCTCAATGAAGAATTATGTTAGAAGAACTGGGGCTTTTGTGAAGCAAAAGACCAGTCGTTAATATTATTATTATTATTACTTTATTATCATCCAGCAGCATTTGTCCATATTAAGCTACTCAGTAGTTATGACTTGATATAGGTAGTCTAAATAAAAATTGTCCCCCCCCCCACTCGTGGTTCGTTGGAACTGGAAATAAGCAAATACGTCGGCCACTCATGGTATGTGTTGGGTTGGCCTACCTGCATTTTCTAAACACTTCATCCTCTGTTCCGGAATGAAAAATATGGAATGCGTCGCGACAATTTTTTTGTTGACCTGTGCCTGTATCATGAAACTGTATTTTGTAAAGATTTAGGTTTTGTCTGCTAGATCACATTTTTTACCCCAAGAACAACACCGCAAATGAGGAAATCATCCTTTTTTAATATTCTAAACTTGTTCACACAAATGGCAGAAAAACTTGACTCCAACCTGGAGCTTACTCATGAGGACACTTGTTCACATCCCATCTTTTCTTTGCTACACCTGTGAGCATATTTTTTAAACCATTTTTAATTGTGATATCCCGTATATTTTATAGGAAGGTTATAGACACTGCTGTTGAAGCTGACAGTACCATCCGTGAAAAGTATGATGGGCATAAGGAAGGCATGGAGCTTCTGTCTGCTGGCCCAGAAAATGTGGGTGCTGCCTTGCCTTCTGCTGGAGCTAGTACCAATGGCAGCAACCCTGCTGTCCAGAGACTAAAGCAGCTCATGGAAGATGTTGAAACCCTTAAAGTTAGTACCTTAATATTTAAATACCTTTGAAGAACGCTTAATAAATTTGACACTCCTTATTTTGAGGCAGTGTAGAAGTGAAGATCACTATATCAGGAGGTGCTTATTATAGGGAAGAGGTGGGCATATAAAAGCCAGTTGTTTGGCCAAGTAGGGAAAGAAAGATGCAGTACAGGGGTATCAAAAGTAAAGAGAATTTGGAATGAATACCAGAAACATTTGAATGAAGGTAAGGGTCTGTTTGTAAAGGGAAAAAGCCAAGAGAATTAATAGATAAGAATGCAAGTGGAAATATGAAGTGAAAAAAAAAAGATTTAGTAAAAGTGATATGGGTAGAAAGTTTTGAGCATCTACTAAATGTAGTGTATGAGAGGACAGAGCTATTGTGTTTGGGGTGTAGAGGAGTAAAAAATTATAAATGGTCTGGGGAGACTGGCTGTAAGCAAACTCAAGAATGGTAAGGTTCCTTGGAATCATTCGTTTATCTATTACGGATGGGAAGTGAAGTGATAGAATGGATGATGAATTTATAGATAGGGTTTTAATGGTAGGAAAAGTACCAAGGAAATGGCAGAGAGCAAAAGGTAAAGGGTTATTAGAATGCAAAACTTAAAGATGATTAAGTATTATTATCACCTGGGAAAGTATGACATAGCTATTGATGAGAGAATAATTTGAAATATTAAAATTTTATTTGAGGAAAAATAATGGGGATGCAAAGGTGTTAAGGAGAATGGTTAGTAGAAGTTTTGTAACAGTGTACTGTATATAATTCAAAGGGAGAGGGGAAGACTAAGGAGGATATAAAAGGATTGGGTAAAGGAAGTATTGGAAGTGATGATGATGAACATCCAAGAAGCAGCAGTGCATGTAAATGAGAGAACACAAAACTGTATTGTAGTTTGTGTGGATGTTACATCAGTTAAAAATGATGAGATAAAGTTAAGTCCGTTTGGTCTTGATTCTGGCCACCCAGTAAAACAGCGGGGAAAACTTTCAAGGTTTACAGAAATTCTAATTAGAAGCCGAGTGACTGACCCACTCAGAGAATTTCCCACCCTGCCTGACCCAAAACACTACTATAACCAGTTCTTGTTCAACCATTTTAATTTTATCACCTTTTCATTCCAAGACGGTAGTTTGTACAGTATTATAGAAATAGAAAAATAAGGCGAGTTGTGACTTCTATTGTAACTTGATTGTTATTCTACCCCTTAGGCTGAAAGAGATGCCATCGAGTGTGAATTAAAGAGTGCTACAATAGATATGAAGGATGTCTTCCTGAATGCACTTGCTCAAGATGGAACAATCAATGAGGCAGCAATTTCGACTGAGAGTCTGGGTCGTGTGTTTGGTCCTCTACAGAAGCAGGTATGCTAAAATGCAAACAACTTTAGTATTTCTTTGTTTGCTTTGATAAATAATTAATTGCAGTTATTTTCCTTGGTTGGTCATAGATATACCTCCCAAGTTTGCTTTAGATCAATGTAACTTTCTTTTTAATTGTGCTGATATCAAGTAGAGGGCTGTTCAGTAAGTAATGACATTGGTTCTATAAAGTTAAAAGAATAAACTTCAAAGCACAAATTAGAAAGTGTTATACTACCTGCATTTGTATGTTATGCCATCATTTCCTTTGATAATATAGGGCCAATTGCAAGAACGGTTATGGGGTGTACGGCGCCATTTACGATGATCTTCTTGCCCTGGTCTTTTTTCAGCAATATCGCCTTTAACACATGGAATTCTGCACTTTTCGAAGCTTTGGAGGAGTCTCGAAACAAGTTTCCTGGTGGGAATTATTAGCTAGTGCTGTACTCAAAATATCGAAACTTCGAGATCTCTCCAGAGCTTTAAAAGGGTGGTATAACTGAAGCAAGATCAGGGCAAGAAGGTCATCGTAAATGGCGTCGTACACCCTACGACTGTTTTTGCAATTGGCCCTTAGAACAAAGGGTAGCTATCAAACTTTACCAAAGAGTTCCAAAATTCACCATGTGGTTGATCAAGCATAACATTATCAAGCTGTTTAATGCAAAGAGTGTTTGGGTGCTACAAAAAATATCTTCATTCATTAGGGATTTCAAGTTGATTTGAGAGAAAGGCACAGAATAAACACGATTTGTTTTACATGCACTAAATCAGGAGTTGCATCAACAATTAAGAGAATACATACTTTGAAGTTTCTTATTCTTTTAGGATAACACTAGTCACATTGTGTAAAATCATGTTTACTTTCTGGGGGCAGGGAAAGAAATTGCAATCAGCCATGTATAATCTGAGATTCCTTCACTTTGTTTTGATGTTTTTAAAGATTTGTATCGTAATGGTTGATTAACTCTAAAATACCCCCCAAAATATAATTTCTTTAATCAAATCAACTTTGCAAAATATACTTTGCAAATTACCATATGATGAATCCCTAATGACATGACTTTCTCCCAGCAACAATGTCACGTATAGAATTCTGCTTATTATTTGTTAACAGTGTGCTGCCCGACTCTGAATGCTCAGCAAAAGTAGCTGGTTCACAGTATAATCACACTTGAAGTGTTTCTCCAAGTTACGGCATTCAACGTCACACATTTTGTGGCTACTACTGTTTTGGTTCTCAGGAATCATTTCATGTAAATTTTTCTATTTCTATCCAGTGGAGTAGACTGAAATTGAAGCTGGAGCTTATTTATTGCCCTTCTGGTTAGCTTTAGTGTTTACTCATGTGTAACATTGTAAATCATAGGTATTCATTTGGTAACTCTTTTACCACAATCACAGGTGAAGGAGAGTGTGGAGCGCCAAGAAAGCTTAGTGAAAAACATTCAGGAGGCCCATGCTGATTTCTGCAAAGCTGCAACTGGTGTTGGAGGTGAACGTGAGGCAATGTTGAAGAAATTGGCTGCTGCTTACGATAATTTCAATGAGTTGAAGAGCAATCTTACTGAGGGCACTAAATTCTATAATGACCTAACACAGTTGCTGGTTAATTTCCAAAGTAAAATTAATGACTTCTGTTTTGCCCGACGTACTGAGAAAGAAGAGTTAATGCGGGACCTGACCCAGGGACTAGCAAATCAGAATGTAGGCTCAGCTCCTAATCCTCCAGCTCATCACCAAGAGGCACAAGGTATGCAGAAAGTTGCTCCACCACGCCCTCCCCCACCTTCTGCTAACCCTTACCAGGGAGTGCCTCAGGGTGCAAACCCGTTTGCACAAGCACCACCTGCACAAGCACCACCTGCACAAGCACCACCTGCACAAGCTCCAGCAGCTGGAGTACCTCCACCTTATGGTGCCCCACAACCTGGGAACTTGCCATATCCAGTGAACCCTGCAGGGATGCCTGCTCCACAAGGATATGTATACCAGAGTTATCCTGTCTACACTCCAATGCCTCAGGGATATAACCCATATTTTCAGCAACAGCCTCAGCAGGCAGGTGGTTATCCAGGTGGCTATCCTGCTCCACCATATCCACAACAGCCATATTCTAACTATCCATACCCCCCTCAGCAACAGCAGCCATGGTCTCAACCATAAAGGTACAAGAGTGCACTTTCCATTGCAAACTCTCTTTATTTACTTATATACATAAGCATCACAGATAAAGTAAAAAACAACAACAACAATGATTTAAACAAGATATCCCAGAATAGATGTAATGCCTATGTGACAAGGCCCATCATAAAAACATATTCTATTGCAAATTTTTTATTTATTAACTTTTAAATTGCAGTTGATCAGTACATCCCTGTTTTCAAGTGGTTTTAAAATTATATTAGCCAGATTAGCAATTGAATCCAGACATGTTGAATTATGTGTTGGGTGTTGAAAATAGATATAAATATGAAGTGGTCAGTTAACCCTTAAAGGGCAGGTTTATTTATGTGCACTGTCTGCCTAGGACACTATATTTTGTTAATTAGATAATGGAGCAAATCGCATAAGATAAAAATGTTAAAATACATGTAGAATGTGCCCTAATAATTTCTTGGGGAAATCACGAGTTGAACTGGGAGTAACTACATATTTTTCCAGCTCTGGAATGAGCTGCCAGAGTCGTCATAGTAACTAGACAACAGCACAGCCACTAGCGCACCCAAACAATGGCGCAAAAAACTTTATCGTGTGATGTCTGCCGCCCTTTATACGTTTTCCTCAAACATCCTATGTCTGCTGCCCTTTAAGGATTAGATATTGTCCCAAATGGCTTTTAATTTGAAAAAGTTGTGCACTAGGAGAGAAAAAAAATTTGATGCATAGTTTTATCTAGCAAACTGTGCATTAGTGTTTTGTATGGTTATTGTATGGTATTTCTATCAAAATGTAGAAGAATGTGACTGTCACGGCTTTGGCTCACCTGCTCAGAGTGCAGAAAATTAATCCTAGTACTGTACTTCTCAATTTTTCACCATGACTGGCAAATCTGCCAGAATGTCTAAAGTGAAACCTAGAATTTCCAAATTTTCTGGGGATGCAGTCCCTGGACCCCTAGTATGGCTGTGATTGTCTCTACACTTTCACCTCAGCAACTTCAGGTAAACGCTGGTGTGATGTGATCGGAAGCACTAACACTACATGTTATATTATATCGGAGTTAATTTTGGTTGCTTAATTTGAACACCACTGAAAATTAGTTTTGTCTGCCAGAAAGAAAATTGAATTAAGGAAATAAGTTAAACTTACTGTAAAGATACACTGGTAAAAATTGGGCCCAAAGGATAGAAATAGGAGTATTTAGTTGTTCAATTTTATCATTGTTATTTTTTAAGGACTTAACTGTGTTGCAGAGGAATTTTTTTGTACATTTTGTGAACCTTCAAGTCATTGTAAGATGAATTTACAATATTTGATTTGTCTGCAGTTTACTTATTATTCATTAGTATTACTTTTGTATTCTTTCTACAGCTTGCTTCTGTGCAGAATATGAATGGCATCTTCATGATACTTTTGTTTGAGCCATTTATGTTGTCAGTATATATATATATGCATATATATATATATATATATATATATATATATATATATATATATATATATATATATATATATATATATATATATATATATATATATATATATATATATATATATATATATACGTATATATTTATATATATATATACGTATATATACTATATATATATATACGTATATATATATACGTATATATACGTATGCATATCTTAGTGTAGTATTTTTTATTTGCATTGTTTCCTTTTTATAAGCTTGGAAGTACCTGTATTTTTTTTGCATGTTTGCTAATGATTTTGAATATGCCATGACTTACTCATGTGGATTTCACCTCTCATCTTTTATATTCACATTTTGGAAATACTTGTCTTCTGTCCATTCTCAACTGGTTGATGAAATTGGAATATATTGAATAATACTGGCACTTGCTATATGCCTCATGCATGTATGCTTTTGCAACAGTTGTCCAGCTATGTGGTTAACTCGAGCAATGCTTTTGTATATACTAGATCAGTGGATTGATCAGTCCATTTCTCAAATTATTTTTGTTACAGAAAAATACCAAGAATTGTCAATAAGAATGATATAATGTATGTGTGTGCTTTTGCAGAAATATTATTTTGAACATACACAAGAACCAACATATTTGCATGTATCCACATATACTAAAGAAGACACACATGTGAACAAACACCTGCACAAATATTTTTATTAGTGCTCTTGCATACAAAGTGCATATTTTGTATGCATGTACAGTACTGATAAGTTTACACACACACACACTGAAATTGTTGTTAACAAGTGTTTACTCTATATGATTTTACTGTAAATGTTGACTAGCCTACTTTGAAGAGAGCAATTCAATTAACTAAAGATTGAATTTATATTGATTAGTACAGTATTGTATATGTAAAGTTAGAATACTTACTCAATCTCAGTTTATACACTGCGAATGCAAAACTATAATTTGTTTGTTGAAGTTGTATGTGCTCTCTCGCAAGCATATCATTTTATGCTATACTGTAGATGGAAACACAGTAGGTTGTTATTCTGTGCTTATACTGTATTTTATTTTGAATTTTTAATTTTCCTGGTAAACTTATTGTCTTGAATAGTTGTATCTTGGTTATTGTTGACTAAGCTGGGGAAATTTAAGGTCACAACACTCATTGTTTCATGATATTCTTATAATTAATTTGGGGTTCAATATACAGTATATATACTATTGGGTTTTTGTGCTTAAGTGACCTGTATGATTATGTACATATTGAAAAAAACTGTTAGTTTCAAATTGTAATCACAAAATACTCTGTGATTTGCTACTATTATTATATATTTACATGAAATGCAATAAAAGTTAAAATGTATATTTTCTTTGAAGTCATCAAAAAAGCTTAATAATCTTGCAGATGATAAAAATGAAGACATGGTTGAAATATAAGCTAGCCAATGCTGTACTATTACAAAATTATCTGCAAATGTCTGAAGATCAGTCATAAGAATTGGAAATTATTTAAATTATTTTCTTAGTGGAGAAACATTTTGGAGAAGCTGAGGAAAATATAAATGTGACCACAAATTTCTTTAAAAATTATTATGGATTTTTGTCAAGTCTTGTCTTCTACTTAGGTGTCAACCCAGATACTGTATATCCTGATTTTTTTTTTATGCCCTCGCCATAAAGTTTGGGGCTTTTCCTACGTATCTATGCTATTCTCTCCATCCGTGTAAAATATTTTTGTTAAGGGACTTGAGAAAATCTTCACAGATCAAAATGAATGTTCAGAACATATGAGCCGAGTTCTAGAATGCCTTTTTTCTGTCCTGTTTATAGAATTGTGATATGACAATCCCTTATCCGAAATTCCGAAAACCGAAAGTTTTTTGTGGAGCAATTTTTTTTTTTTTTTTTGGGGGGGGATCAGCCCACCTGGGCACAGGTCACTGGCCCGCGGGGCAAAAATGTAATAATAAATATAATAATAATAATTATTCATAGTAAATAAATTTTATAATAAAAAAAATAATAAAATAATAATAAAATTAATAATAATAATAATAATAACAATAATACAGTACTGTAATAATAATGATAATAAAGAAATACAAGAATGAAAAAAAGATCAAAAGTGAGAAACACGACAGACCTAAGAATTATTATTATAATTACTATTACCTGTATTATAATTATTATTATATTTTTGCCACCAGGCCCCAATGTGGGTCAGTGACCTGTGCCCGGGTGGGCTGATCCCTGTAAAAAAAAAAACCTAACCATTCTGAAATCCGAAAAATTCTGAAATGCATTTGGTCCCGAGGATTTCGGAGAAGGGTTTGTCAACCTACCAATTTAATGGGATTTTATGGCTGGGGAATACAGCCTGTTTAGTGATGGTCTTCTATAATTTCATTTATTTTTGCATACGGTATATACTGTATAGCTGATGGAGCTCCTAAATCTATTTTGTATATCACTGACTTTTTCACCTGAATTGGATATTTGTTTGAAAATGGGAACATTTACTAATTCATTTAAGGTGTTATTTACTATCATACAAAATATATCCAAACTGTTCATAGATTAGATTAGGTAAAGTTTGAATAGGTTAGGTTAGTAATACTATAATGCTAAAGTTTAGTTATTCCAAATTTACCAATGTTATAAAGTACAAGATTGTTTTGCCAAACAGGGATAATTTAATGGAAATTAGTTCTCAGGCATTAAAATTTTTTGTTTCACTTAAGGTATTGTATACAATCAAAAGATAACCAAACTATGCCTAAATTAGGTTAGGTGAGAGGTTATTTAGGCTAGAAATGATGCTGTTTACTTGCAGTTTGTAATATGATTATCTTCTTTATATGGATTAGTCTCCAGAAAAAAAATATATTACTGTATCATAATTATCCTTATTTGGAACCAAGGTAATCCTGAATTTAGAGAGAGACAGTTTGTTGAGAGTATTACTGTACGCAACCACTTTTGACACCCTATAGCTGTTTGTAGATTACAGGTATATACAAAAAAGAAGGGAAGTCACCTTAAAGAATAAAATAATCTCTCTTCACCACTGAAGGCTTGTAAAATCATTATGTAATTAACTACCCTTTAGAAATACACATATAGCAGACTTAGTCATAAAATTCTTTCTTTTACAGTGAACTTTGGATGGAAGCTTGCTGTGCCTTCTGGTTATTACTATTTGTATCGGTCATAAAGTGGAGTGTTCAGTTCATTTAATTTCTGCTTATGTAGAACTTTTCTCTTACTATTTGTCCAAGTGACTCCTAGATAAACTTTATTTCTTCTTTATGAGCTTTTATGTTTATGTAATTGGTGAAGTAACATGTATGCTTTCATCAAAACAATTTATTCTGTACATTTTCCAGTCTCCTATTACAAATGACCAAATTTTGGAAGAATTGTGAAGAAATTTCAGTTTCATTTTACTCCTCTGCTGGTCAAAGTGGTTTGTTTTTCTCATACTGTTTGAATCCATCACTGAAGTATGTAGATTAAACTGTGGAAGAATCTTATAAGTGTAAATTTTTTTAATTGAATATATCAAAAATGCTGGAGAGACTGCAGGCTTTAGTATGAACCAAAGTAAACAATTGTACTAAGCAAAGGGTGTTCTCGGACATTGTGGATACAATTGGCTTAGATGAAAGTTCCGTAAAATTTAATTTGTTTTGAGGGGTCAATGAAAATGTTTCTTGTCTATCCAGTTTAGGTGCCAGATATTAATGAGTTTACTGTATAAGCTACATCCAACAGCAATTTTTCTGAACATTTGCTGAAGTACCGTATTCTACTTGTTGGTTTTAACGTTCACAACTGAAGCAGTTACTTCTGCTTCTCAACTAACAAGCTGATTAGGCAGTTACTTGCTTTGAAGAAGTAATGCAAATTACTGTATTATAAGATACCCATCCTACCCATCCTAACATTTGAGGTTTTTCATAGAGTAAAATACACAAATATAAAAAGAGAAATGCAAAATGGCATTACTTGTAAGATTCCTCTACCAGAGTTGTTCCTGGCTATTACAGAGTTATTAATTTCTGCAGGGTAAAGCATCTGTGACTGATTTAGTCATTTACTTTGTCACTCTTTCACCAAAAAGCTAGTACTGTAGTTATTTTCTGGAAACTGGGATAAATATTATTTTAAGTACAGTAGTTTATATTTTGGGAGTCATTTCTTGTATTGAAGAAATGGTGGCATGTGCCAGAGTCTCTAAGAAACATTACAATTATCAATATTT